AAGTTTTTAAATAAAACTATCTAATTTTTAAATTTTCTATTAAAATAGTTAATTCATAGCCCTGTGATTATTATATTAATATTATTGCATGAACTCCTGATGGTTTCCTGTCCTAGTCGATATATTCAATCATTTATTATACCATAAAGCAAAAAATCTAGGAATAAACTGAGATCAACGCCTTTTCTAACTTTTATTTTCAGTTTTTTTTTGGGTCACAGCTGGCGATGCTCAGGAGTAATTCCTGGCTCTGCACTTAGAAATCACTGCTGGCAGTTCTTAGGGGACCATATGAGACGGAGATAAGAGGAAGTATAGGAGATAGCAGAGGGGAGGAGAGGGGAGAGCAGAGGACATGAGAGGAAATAAATGGAGGGGATGGGAAAGGAAAGAAAAAGAGAGGAAAGGAAGGGAGGGGAAAAGAGAGAGGAGGAGGAGATGGAATGGGTCAAGAGTTAAGGGGAGGAGAGGAGAGGAAAAGAGAAGAGAGGAGAGGAGAGGGTAAGAGAGGAGAGGGGGAGGAGAGAAGAGGAGGGGAGAATAAAGAAAAGCAGAAGAGAGGGGAGGGCAGAAGGGGAGGGGAGGAGAGAACTGGAGAGAGGAGGAGGGGGAGGGGGTCTTAAGGACGGTAAGGGGAGGGGACTGGAGGGGGGGGGAGACGAGAGAAGCGCCTAGAGTTTTTTCTTTATCTTTATTCTTGTGGTAGGCTTTTAAGATTTCTTTAAAAATAGCTTTTGACATGTTTGATACAATTTTCCTAGAACATTGCATCCTGTTCATGTTCAAGACAAGTGTTTTGATTTCATACTGCTTTTACTGACTTGGGTCTGTTATGAGGAACTGGGCTGTCCTAGCACCTTCCTGCTCTTATATCCCTGGACCAGAATCTTCTCTGAGTATGTGCAGAAACTGATACTTGAGCCATGGTTTGCCTATATCATATGTTTATTTTGGTATGCAAAGAATGAGTTAAGCTGTAAGATATATTAAAGTCTTTTTTACTACCGATATTGATTTTTATCTTTTTTATTACTTTTAAATGACAACATAACTCATTGTAATATAGCAGTATGCAATGCATTTGCAAGTTAGAGAAGAGCAGAAAATTTCCATTTTACACATGCTTAGTTATAAATTGTCCTTAGGTATAATTTTAAAGTTACAAATGTGAAAAATTATAATTTTTCCTTAAACAAAGAGACTCAAAGTATCAGTGGAATGAGATAAATTAATCTTGACAAACTCTGGATGAAGAGTGAAAATACTGGTAAGAGTCTATCATTGAATTCCATAAACAGATTAACACAGATGAATTATTTGTTAAATTTTCAAAATGAAATAAAGTGTTTGTTTCATGTATAATTTTGTCTAATATACTTATTCTTTTGTTTTGGATGTTACCCCCCAGCTAAAGTTATATGACACCGTAAAAAGTATTGATAATCAATGCCCCCATGTCTAGCCTGAAGTCTCGCACTAAATAAATGAAGACTGTCTTCAGAGGAGAACATCTGATGACCAATCTTCCCAGACAAAATGCTGCTTTTACTTTTTTATTTTCTTTTCAGGCCCTATTATTTACTGAAGTCATAAAAGTCTGCCTGAAATGCTTAAAGGTGAATGCATTCACCATCCCTTTGAGTCAGTCATTGAATATGTGTTTTAGTCACACAGAAGCTGAAAGATGAATTTATTGAATTTTAATGTTGTTTTATTACTTATGTTACATTTTCTATTTCTTCTTTCAGAGAATTTCTACATGCTACCATTACTCTCAGAAAAAAAATATTTCTTTCATGTTCCTTCTTTTTATGAAAGAGAAAAAGCCTACTCATGAATCTCCCGATATGATCAATTTCCCTCTACACAACATTGGTAAGTTACAAAATGCATTTTTCAACACATGAGAAATAGGGGAAAGCTAAGTTTCAAAGACGTGTTAAATATTGCCCTCTAGAATGCTCTCATACATTTTTCTGGTTCATATTTATGCACATTCATACTCAAAGGTATACTGCATCTAAAAATAAATAAATAAAGGTGCCACATGTGCAAGAAAACATGGGATTGTATGTATGACAAGAACTCAGGAATTATAGTTTAGCTCCTGCAGTTGCATGCACACATCATATAAACTGTTGATGCTGGAGTTCATAATTAGAAGAGTAGAAGTTGCGAGTCTAGTTGTATATCTAATTGAGATAAGAATCCTGCAGTTTGAACATGATAGACATTTCTGTCCAATTATTCAATTTTCTCTGAAAATTATGTCCTATGTTTTTATACTGCATTGTGTTGGGATAAATAATATATTGTACAACTTTATAAGCTACAAGAGAAGAAATTGTTATAAGACTAAGAAAAATGTCCCACAGAATTAGCAAGCAGTGACGAATTAGCCACTCTAAGGATGTTATTACACAACAACACTTTATTATGCTCAGAATTATTGTTTTGTTGCAGGAATTTGGTATTTTAGAATTGGTCTCTGTAGTAATAACATGAAACATGATCAATTCCTGAGTAGCTTTGTTGGACAAATATAAATAATGATCCATAAATCTGTGTGTCATACTCAGAGCAACTTCCTAAAACTGTTTTCTATTCAAAAAGATATAGAAAATATAAAGAACATTTTCTTGTACATATGTTAACATAAAACACTTTTAAGTTAAAATTGAAAATGTTATATATAATCTTCCATCACAAGTTTTTCAGCTCCCTTAAGTGCCCTTGTTTTCAATAATTGCAAAATTTAAAACATTTGTCCCTCTAACAAAAGTTTATCTGGAGCTTTCCTTGTATAAACTAAATTATTCAAAAGGTGTTAAAAACCTGCAAATTTCTAAATAACATAACATTTCTATCACGTTATTTACTTCTACATTTTAATTTCATCACAAAAACTTGATATATTATGCAGGAGTATTTAAAAACATCAAATTAAAGAGAGATTTCTCAGTTAGCTAATAGGGTCAACTGGCCAGAAAAACATATCACAACAGAATAAATTCCAATGAAATAAAACACAACTATAAAAGGAATAAAAATACCTGAATAACAATTTGATAAAATTTTGTGGATAAAGTCTACCTTCAATAGTAAGGTGAGATGTATTAGTCACATTCACAAAATCCCAGCCAAGATTTGTTCTCCACCACCCCAGTTTCCCATATGGTCCTCTGAGCACTGCAAGAGTGATTCCTGAGTTCAGAGCCAGGAGTTACCCCTTAGCATCACAGAATGTAGCCCTCAAACAAAACAAAACAAAGCAAATTATTCAGCAGGGCCAGAAGAATAGAACAACAAATAAGGCACTGAGTTTAAACAAGATGGACCCAGTTCTATCTCCTGCACCGATATGACCCCCTGAGCCCTGACAGAGGTGATCTCAGAGCACAGAACTAGGAGTAAGCTAGGAGTAAGTACCACCATGTGGCCCCCAAAATAAAAATAAATAAATAAATAAATAAATAATAATTACTGTGTTGACAACAGTTGGAATAGACTTCTATTAAAAAAATTTCAGAATAACTGTGTGTACAAATTAATATGATCTTGTAAGTGCGGACCTCTAAGTAGATTTTATTTTATATGTTCTTGTTAAAGTTCTAACAACAAGGGACGGGAAACATAGTACCCGGATTCAGTTACTGGCACTTTCATATGCTTCCCAGAGAACTGCCAGAATTGGTTCTTGAGCACAGATCCAGGAGTAATTATTGAGTATAGCCAGGTGTGACCCAACCAAACTAAATAAAGTTGTTTAAAAAATGATAGTAATAGACTTAAAAAGATTTTCACTGGACATGGTTTAGATTTATGTAACTCAATAAGACAGATTTAACAAATATCACTATGCTAAACAATTGAGTTTTGTGCAAATATTCAAAGATATTAGAAACTTATGTACATTTCAACACCAAAAGAGATGCAAAATTTATTGATTTTTAGCAAAATTAAGTTTATGGCTACATTCAGTGAGTTGTATGTGAGCAGCACACAGATGCCCAAAAGCTTTTGTATAAAAAAATAAATGTGCAGAAATCATAAAATTGACAAGGATTTCCCCCTCTCCATAATATATTCATTAAATATTAGTATCGTTATTACATAAATGGATTTAGTATATTAAAAAATGTGTTAATAATGGCCACCACTAGAATATAATGTGATGGTTGGCATATAGACAGAGACAAGGACTGATGGAGAATTTTTATTTTCCTTTTTACTATAATCTATGAAGTTTCTTAAATTATTAACAAAGATGCCTAAGGGATAAATCATCAATTTTTAAAGTATATTGTGTCCTTTCTATATTAAAAAAATTACCACTGGTTAACAATACTACAGAAATTTTGAGCTACAATTGAGTATCTTTGTAGGTATACTTGCCTCCAGCAACACAACAAAATTGTGTGTGTCACACCACCATTCCACATGTGAAAAGCTAAGATTACAACATACCACCCACACACAAAGCATTAACCCCAGAATGATTCAAGATGGAATATTAGACCTGAACTAAGAAAACATAGAAATAAGTACAAGTGATACCCCCTAGGAACTCAACATCAACATTTCCGGTTGTAATCATTAATTTCTCTAAAACACTAATCCAAGAAGACATAGGAACAAAAAACCCTATGAAAATGCACAGTATAAAAATATATAATCATAAAATACAATATTTTTACTTTATCATTTACTTGAAACATTAAGCAAATTATTTTTTCTATGTCACAGTGCACTGTAGCACTGTAGCACTCGTCCCATTGTTCATTGATTGGCTTGAGTGCGCCCAGTAACATCTCCATAGTGAGTCTTGTGGTTACTGTTTAGCATATCCAATATGTCATAGGTAGCTTGCCAGGCTTTGTCATGTGGGAGAGATACGCTTGGTAGCTTGCCAGGTTCTCTGAGAGGGGCAGAGGAATCGAACCCTACTCGGCCTGGCCGGCTGTGTGCAAGGCAAACACCCTACCGCTGTGCTATCGCTTGTGCTCACTTCAGCAGCACATATACTAAAATTGGAACGATACAGAGAAGATTAGCATGGCCCCTGTTGAAGGATGACATGCAAATATCACAGTGCATTAACTCTAATTTGAGAATACTGAGGTTTAATATAATCAAGGATGAGAAAATTTCCCAATGTGCCTTTCTCATGTTCTGAGTCTCCAAACCTGTAACTTCTGGAGGTTTTCATTTAACCTTAGAACTCAGCAGGTCTACCACTTTGCTAAATAAAAATTCCCTTGACATCAACCACTGGTAAAGGTAAAGGTAAAGGTAAAGGTAAAGGCCCTCCCATTGTTCATCGATTTCCTGGAGCGGGCCCAGTAACGTCTCCATTGGAGACTTTGTTGTTACTGTGTCTGGCATATCGAATACATCATGGGGAGCTTGCCAGGCTCTGCCGTGCAGGTGAGATACTCTCGGTAGCTTGCCAGGCTCTCCGAGAGGGGCAGAGGAATCGAACTCAGGTCAGCCATGTTGGCTGCGTGCAAGGCAAACGCCCTACCGCTGTGCTATCAACCACTGAACTCAAAGAAAACATTTCTGTTTCCTGGGTGCAGGAATGATTTATGGCAGGTAGGACAATTAACTTGCTTGCACCCATCTAGGACACTACATATGGTCCTGACAAGAATGATCTCTGTTGGAGTGCAGAGTCTGGGGTTTGCCCTGAGCACTGCCCTAAGTGTGTCAACAAAAGAAAATAAAAAACCACTACAATTAGATTTCCATTCCCAAGACTGCTTATAACAATTGCCAAAATCTTCCTGATTGCCTCTTCTACAAAAACTTGATTAAAAACTATTCTTCTTTTTAAGATAAAGTACTCAAAATAGTTTACTATTTTAAAAAAATCTTTATGTGGTGATTTTTACCAGCAGGTCATCCTGTACGTACCTGCATACCTGCGGGATTAGTATATCAGCAGCCTGATGGTGCCTGCAGGCTTCCTGATACCCCAAATTGCTACTGGCTTAGCTATACATCTCACTTATCAGCCTTGCTTCAGAGACCCATAAATAAATCTCAAAATAGATCAAAAGCTGCAGTTAATCTCAGACCCTTGCAGGCTGAACAGACTGAGGTAAATAAGAGTGGGACAAGTGAGCCTGGTGCCCACCTAAGCAAAGCCCCTGGCAGCTGCTTGCTTCTACAATTCAAAATTGCTGCCATGCCCCAGTCTGACTCCACTCTTTGAGACAGACTTCACTGAGATATAATCTGCTAAAAATTCAGGTATGTAGGTTTTATGACTAATCTTCATGCCTTTTCAGGGTAGGGATGGGTTAGCTCCCCCCAACTCCCCATACTTCCAAAAGCCTCGGCATTCACTTCAACAACCCAAAGCTGCCGCCTCATTAAAAACAAAAAATTAAATGAACTATTCCAACCTTACCTTCCCAATAAAAAACATGATGACCTCTTAGGACCTGTATTATAAACTATAATGCACAAAAGGAGAGAGACAGAGAGGGAGAGAGAGAAAGAGAGAGAGAGAGAGAGAGAGAGAGAGAGAGAGAGAGAGAGAGAAGAAAATGTCTACCATAGTGTCAAGTTTGGGGGTTAGGGGATGGTGGGAGGAAAATATACACTGGTGGAATCATGAGAAGCTTTGTAATTGTCTATCTCATGGGCATTCAATTAAAAATTTGAAGAAAATAAAAATTAATGATGCTTGGGTTACTTTTCTGCCTCTACTTATGACCCTGCCACTCAGAGCACACATAGCTCAGATAACTTCCTGATCAGAGAATAGAGCTTTTTACATCTTCCACAGTACTCTAGGAACTTGATAGTTGAGTTATTCATACAATTTATACACTTATGCTTTTCTTCAAGCGTTACCTAAAACTTTACTCCTTGCATTTTTAAATTTAGAAAATCTCTTGCTTCATAAAATTTGGTCACTGAAGGTATTCAACTATAGGTGCATTTTTTAATTGATCAAGATAGAATTATAGGGGTACTAAATTGATGTTTGATTTTCCACTCCCCATTCGAGTAACAGTATCTTTCTACCACTGTGCCCAGGCCCCTTCTCTTCCACCTGTTTTGCCCATTTGCCAGTCTGAGTTCTGTTGGCAGTGGCAGAGGGTTTCTTTGTGTTAGTGATTATCTATTCTTTTGCTCTCTTGCCTTACTCCACATTAGAGTGTAATTGTATGGTAATTTGTCTTTCTCCTTCTGAATCACCTTGCATTTTTGTCCAAGTGGCAGAAAACTACAAAATTTTATCTTTGTAGTATTTCATGTGTATTTGTGTGTGTGCGTGTGTATGTACACATTACAATTTATTCCTTAATATGCCATTAGATACTTGGATCATTTTCAGATCTTGGCTATTATAGGTAGCACTATTATAAATGTAGTTGTATATGTGTATTATTTAATATTTATTCACCCCTAAGATAAATTCCCAACAGAATCACTGAGTTTTATGATAACCCTCTTTTTTTTATTAAACATTTTTTTAATAGTGAGACATCATGAGGTACAGTTGCAGACTTACACATTTTGCTTGGGTTTCAATTATACAATGATCAAATACCCATCCCTCCACCATTGCCCATTTCCCACCACCACGGATCCCAGTATCCCTCCCACCACCGATCCCCCCCATCCCACCCTGCCTCTGTGGCAGGGCATTCCCTTTTGTTTTCTCTCTCCTATTGAAATAACCCTCTTTTTAAAATTTTTGTATTCCTATGCTGTCTTCCATGGAAGTGGAACTAGACCAGTGCTTATGCAGCAGTGAATGAGGGTATCTTTTTACCCCATTTCTGACAACACTGATTGTTTCTGGACCTCGTGGTAAGTCCACTATCAATGGAGTGAGGTTATGATTTAGTCTTATTTTCTTTGCATTTCCTGATTACTAGTAATGATGATCACTTTTTTGAGATGCCCCCTGGCCACCTGCTTCTCATTAAGAACATGTCTGTTCATCTGCTCTTCCCATTTTTATTATGAGATTATTTAGTTTCTTAACCTTGAACTCTTTGTTTATAGATAGATAAGTAGATAGATACTGACTTTTTATCATATATATGATATGTGAATATTTTATCCCATTCACCTGGGTATCTTTTAATTTCAGAAATTTTTTTTTGCATTGGAAACATGTTTCAATTTGTTGCAGTTCCATTTGATTGGTGTTGCTTCTATTTTCTTTGCAATGAAGCCGAATCATTGAGGACAATACTGATGACAATATCATGAATATTTTTCTCTAATTTATCCTCAATATATTTCATGAACTTGAGTATGACATCCAGCCTTTTTTTCATTTTGATTTAACATTTTAATATTGTGTGAGAAAGAGGTGGTATAGTATCATGACTTTTATCTATTATTTATCTTTTTTTTAACATACTTTGCATACAAATTTCTTAGTAATTCAATGTGCTCTTACATGAACAAAAATTCTGATGTGGAAATAATTGAGTATTTCAACCTCTGGCAAAATGCTACCAAGAACAATTAATGATGTAAGTTATTATTCTGCAGGACCTTAGCTAGACACAATTTAGACAACAGTTCTCTCCAAGGAGCTATCAAAAATTATTTGTCACGACCTAGTCCTAGCTCTTCAAATTTCAGTGTACATTTTTCTTCCAAACAAAAGAATCCAGGTTTCCTGAAAAAAAAGGCTTATCAGGAGTGGGGGAGAAAATAGAGAAATAAGTCTGAAAATATTATATTGATGCAAAACAAGATAATCATATGCACATATTCACACATAAATGAGGACAAGATGGCAAAGAAGGGAGTGAAATAATTTGCATGAACTAACTTGTAATAATAAGAAAAGTAAAATTATAGTATTACATTGTAACCCACATTACCATTGAATACAAGTGATAAATTTATAAGAATAAACATGTAAATAAATCAATTCATAAATAAATTAATATTGTAGCACAGTGTAATATCATTCACTAAAGGCTATCAAATAATTTAGGTAGTTATTTGAAAGGAAATTAGAGATTCCAATGTCTTAACCAAAACCATAAGTTTTGATTGCATGTTTTGACTTCCATAAAATCATATGGTACATAAAGAAAGTTCTTCTTTCGTGGAGAAAAAAAAAGCACACAAATATTACCTAGGGCAGGCAGTAGAGATAATCAGCAGCAGTTAGAAACCAATTCATGTTGATAGCATGTGTCTCTCAAAACAGATGATAGAAATCTTATTTTTCCTCTAGTGGTGCTAACCAAACCACCAAACCACCACTGATCATCACTGTATCACTGTCATCCCGTTATTCATCAATTTACTTAAGCAGGCACCAGCAATGTCTCCATTTGTCCCAGCCCTGAGATTTTAGCAGCCTCTCCTTACTCGTCTTTCCCAATGTATTAGAGGCTCTTTCAGAGTCAGGGGAATGAGACCCATTATTGTTACTGTTTTTGGCATATCAAATACACCATGGCTAGCTTGCCAGGCTCTGCCGTGTAGGCAGGATACTCTTGGTAGCTGGCCAGGCTCTTCAAGAGGCATATATATATTTATCTCTATGATTTGTTCATGAAGAAAACAATCATTAAATTATAATAGGAAGAGCTTCTAAAAAATAAGTGACCAGTCACCAAAACATAGTGTAATCTCATTAAAAACAAGGAAAATGCAAGTTGTCAAAACAAAGAGGGTTCTAAAAATACTTGTGGTGCCTTGTATGAGATTCCAGAATAGAAAAATGTACTATGAAAATATTTAAGAAAACCTTTAGTAAATTATTAATTTAAGTCAATAATATAGTATCAATATTGGTTCATTAGAGATGAAATAATGACATGATGTAAAAGTCAGATTCTATTACTAGGGTAAATGTTTTTCCTTATAAGTAGAATACAGGAATATTGAAACTCTGATCCAGAGATATAAGAGAGCAGAACAGGTAAGATGCTTTCTTTGCAAATGGTCTACCCAGGTTTGACCCTCATACCACACATGGGTGAGCATCATCAGAAGGGAAACCTGAGTAGAGAACCAGGAGTAAGCCATAAGCTCTGCTCTGGAGGCCCAAACTCCCACCACCACCAAGGAAAAAAAGAAAATGGACGACTGCAAATCTTTAACATGCACCT